TGCTGTGGAGACCGGCCTGTGCGTGAGCTACACAGACTTAGAGGATGGACCTACACGACCAGCTCCAGCCACCTCACCAATAACACGGGAGCGGAACCAGTACCCAATTCCCAAGCTCGCTATGAAGATCAAGTTGAAGAATATAAATATAAAACACGCAGAAAGAACCCATAACAAGCACTCACAAGTGTTCTCTGCACACCATCATCCTTACTGAGGGCACAGTTTAGGTATAAAGAATGCATACAAAGCTTAATCAAGGTTATGCTGTTTAGAACTAGGAGAGGGCGAGTCCTCTCTCTGAAGTTCTCCCCTAAGACGGATGGGACCTAACAGACCTAATCCCTGGGGGTTACAATAGGCGCTCAAGGAGAGTGTACATTGTATTAGATAAGAAAGGCTGGAAGTGAGAGGGCGCTTGAGGCCATAAGGGTGGAGCCATGGGAGGGAGAGAGACCAAGTTCCCCACTAACACCACCCAGAGGGCATATGCTGTCCCCTGGGTACAGACTGCGGCCCGTTAGTAGCACCCTCAAAAGAACATACCAGAAAGAGGGAGGAGATTTTATTCTCTATTTCAAATAACAGAATACAGTTAAAAGGGCTGAAGTAGAGAGAAGAGAGGCAGAACTCTCACACCTTCATAAAATTGGGAGGGCTGTTCCTGGGGCAGGGCCCAGATCCGAGGTTGCAGGGCAAAGTCAAGCTCGTGATCACCTTTCAGTTCCTCCCTGATTCAGAGACTCCAAGATTCTGGGCATGGCAGAAAGGGCACCAAAGAAAAAAAAGAAACTCTGAAAATTAAACCACCCAAGCAGCCAACTCAAAAAGCTTGAAAAAGATCACAACAAACCTAAAGAAAACAGGTGATTTTCTAGGAAATCATATAAATACTAAAAAATGATTCAATGAAAAGGAGAAAACCTCATTATAACCACATCAGAAGCATGTTTAAAAAAAAGGAAACTATAAGTACTCTAATCTGTGAGCGTAAATGGAAAAACACTAAATACCAAAGAAGTGAAGCCAGTAGCTTAAAAAGAAGTATACATACAACATGAGCAGCTTATCACAGGGGCTCCAGGGCGTTTACCATTAGAAGATACACTGACAGAATTTGCTACATTAACAGCATAAAGGAGGAAGAACCATATGATCATCGATCGCTGCCCACAGATGGATTTGACAACTTTTAACCACCATTCCCAATTAAAAAAAAAAAAATCCAACTAATTTAGGAATAGAAAGTTCCTTAACCAAATGCCTTGAATGAACACATAATCAAACCTAGAACAAACATCCCTGGTAACAAAACATTTTATTAACTGCCTATCCCTATTAAGTTAGAAATAAGCCCTCATAGAGGGGAATGTGATGGTGTCTTTCAAAATTATATGTACATTCGCCCGTTGATCTAGCAGTCCTATTCCTAAGAAAATACTCCAGAGACAAGCTGGCAAAATATAAAAGGATGTGTGAACAAGGCAATTTACTATACCACTGTCTGTAACAGCAGAGACTAGAAACCACAGCAAGAAACTGTTAACAAACTACCAAACTACCTACCTATAGCTGGTTTAAAAAGACAATGAGAAAAATCTCTCTGTCATTCTAATGAGTAATCTCCAGAATATATTACTAATGGGAAAAAAGCAAGGAACTTATATGATATGCCTCCTTAAAAAAAACTGGAGGAAATATAAATGCATTGGTGTATAGCATTATATATTCAGAAAAGAGCACTTAAAGGATATGCCATAGGCTGACATGAAGGGTCACCTTTGGGGGAAGGGAGAGAGCAGGGATGAAAGATAAGGATAGAAGTAAACCTCTGAACTTCCTTGTTTTATAGTTTCAACTATAAACCATGTAAATGTGGGATGTAAATTTTTTAATGTAAAAATAGAAGCATAGCAATCCTGAAAAATAAAGAATCACCTGAAAAAAATCATTTTGATTTTATGTCATAGTGGCATTACAGCCACACGGAGAATAATTATTTTAGGAGATTGAACCCTCTGGCATGATGTAACTTAAATCCATAAAGAACCATAAAAAAAATCTTAATTAAAAGAACATTCAATGGGTTCATTACTAGTAACAATATCGTTATTTTTAAATTATTATATATTTTGATGTTGTTTGCAACAAAGACTTTTGGTGTGAGAAAAGAGATACAAGTATAATCAAAGAAGCTAATTAAAAACCTTAAAATATTTCATTTAAACATATCCATGATATGCTTCTTCACATTACAAAAATCTGCAAACTTCTTAGCCCTGCCTGCTGAAAACCCTAAAAGGAATAAAAACCCGAGAGCAAGGTGCATCTCCAGGATCCAGATTTTGGCTTCTAAATACCATAGTGTGGTGGGAACTAAAAGGAGCCAGAGCTCCTAGGAAAAATGGATAATTCCAGATCTGTGCAACAAATGGGTAAAATGAGCTTGAGGTCTCTTCTCGTGTTAGAACGCAAGCAAGCTACCAGAGATGACCAGAGTCATGTTAAAAGAACACAGAAGAGGATGACTCATGACAGGACAATTTGCACAGCACAATAACTATAAAAGGAGTAATGACTGAAAATAGACTACATTTTTCCACCCATGAGTTCACAGTAACACTACCCCCTCCCACAAAAACCTCTAAGTCATCTTTGAAGACTGTTAGAGCATTAATCACTATTCTATAAATAAAGAGAAAGGCTCAAACATGGACCCTGCCTTATCCGTACTAATTGTACTTCAGCTAAGTAAATAGTTGATAAGGGAAAACTCTTCTTTATAGAAGAACTCCAGATAACAGACATAGAAGGAAGAATAGGACTAGGGAAACATTATTTTTGCAATCTCTAATAAGATCATGGATATAGGTGAGCCTCCGACTTCAGCCAGGTCACGATCTCGCGGTCCATGAGTTCAAGCCCCGCGTCAGGCTCTGGGCTGATGGCTCAGAGCCTGGAGCCTGTTTCCGATTCTGTGTCTCCCTCTCTCTCTGCCCCTCCCCCGTTCATGCTCTGTCTCTCTCTGTCCCAAAAATAAATAAACGTTGAAAAAAAAAATTTTTTTTAAAAAAAGATCATGGATATAGGTGTCCACCATTTGGTCAACATTCACGGAGAAATCTGTAATAGAAGGAGCAGGCCAAAAAAAAACTGCTTAACCCACTGGGCCATCTTAACATAGTTAACATTTAGACAAATTTCTTAAAAGACACAAAATACCGAAGCTCACACAAGAAGAAACAGATAACCTAAGTAACCCCTATGTCTATAAGAGAAACTGAAACTGTAGTTAAAAACATTCCCACAAAGAAAACTCCAAGCCTTAATGGCTTCCCGAGTAAATTCCACCAACCATTTAAGGAGGAAATGCTACCAATTCTATGCAAAATCCTCCAAAAAATTCAAGAGGCAGGAGTACTTCTCCACTTATTCTATGAGATCAGGACCAAACCCACACCAAATATTACACACCAACTGGAAGATACAATGGGAAAGAAGTAACAAAATGAAGTACTAAAGACCTAAATAAAAAATAAGCAAAACTAGTATGAAGAAAATTCTGAAACACCCTAAAAGACATAAAAGTATCTCTGAACAAAACGAAAAACATACCACATTCTTGGATATGACAATTCAACAATAAAGGTTGTCAATTCACCTCAGGTCAATATATAGATGTGACGTATTTCTAATAGAAATGCTAATAAGCATAGAAAAACCTAGATACCCTGGGTCAAAAAGCAAAGACTCAGACTAATGGAGCTGTATCAAAAGCACACAGCAGCCAGCTTGGATTAGATCCCACTGATCAAACGAAGGACAATTTTAGCCTCAAAAAGAATAATGTCTATAATTATCTATAAATTATTAAATAAAGGGGCACCTGGGTGGCTTGGTTGGTTAAGTATCCGACTTTAGCTCAGGTCA